AGGCAAATCATAGGATCAGACAAATACACAGAAGCCAAGCGGAGCTTAACATCACTTTTCATACAAATAAAAAAACTGATGACAATAACAAAAAGAAGAAAAAAATTTTGCAACTTGTCTTAATCTGTTGATTTTTAAGGTCGATAGAATTAGAAAAAGCAGAAACTGTACTTGAAACACCGTCACAAGAGAGCATAAAATATCTAAGAGATTTAAACTTGGGAGGCACGTCTTTCAAAATTTGTCCAATTTGGACTGCAAAACGAAAAAAAATATTCAAATAGTTTTCCGTCAATGGCACAACTTGTGATTTATTCGGAATCCAATTCAAGGCCAATAGGGCTTTAGTATGACAACACTTATACTTATACTTTGTTATTACTTATACTTTGTCAGAAAGCACTGACAAAACTACAAAAAAAACAACCCTGAGCAGCAGCCAGAAATTTAAAAAACGAGAAAAATTTCACAGGGAAGAGAATTTTAAAAAATGCATATCAAAAAAATGTATTCAAATCAAAATCAAAATTAAGCAGTTTTGATGCCATTTTTGAAGTCATTATTAATCTTATTTCCTCATTAAAAAACAAAATTCATCAAATTCTGAAAACAATTTAAATGTGTTAAAATCTCAGCACCTCTTGACTTAGCGAAGGATGGCCGAGACAAAGTGAACTTTTTAAAGTTTTCAGTAAGCAATCACAGGCAGTCAAAAACTAGTTGTTTCATTTAAAATTGAACTCAACTTCTGAGAAATCTGCGGCACTTCACATGAATTAACCAAGAATAGCCGGTTGCTGTGCAGGTAGCACAGAATGAATTTTCCGACCATATTCATAAAACACTATAAAAAAAATACAATTTTTTCAAATTAGGGTTATTTTTTTGCGCGTGGTATCATGACAGAACTAAAGCAACGTAAGTTACTGATTTAGACACAACCGACAGTGGTTCTATTCGAAAAATGAAAAACCAACTTTAATTTCAGAAACAAATGCTTGAATTCAGAATACATTTTTGATTATTTTTAAAAACTTTTTAATGCTGAGGAAGCGCTATATGAAACTTCCAAAACTAGTGTTCCCGTAGCTAAATTAAGTTTTAAGTTTTCACAATTTAATTGAAAGCTTTAGGCCAAATTTTGAGCAAGTAAAGCTAGCGAGGTGGTCTTAACTTCGCTCAAAATTACACAAAAACTTCACACCAATTTTCTAAATATTGTTACCAATTTTTGAATTTTGTCCAAATCGTTCGAATCACCATTGAACGGACTTTAATATATAATACCACGCATTCTACTTCGATGATTATTTGTGGAACCTGATTTAGCGTGGTAAATAAAATAGCCTCCGCTCCCTATTCGCTTGAAATTAGACGAAAAGTGGAACAAAAAAACTAAATCTTATCCTAAAACAAATTTTCTCCTTATTTGCAATAGTCGGAACAAAAACAACCAAAAATTGAAAGATAAGAGAAACACTGAAGTACAAATTTTGTCGATTCAAATTTTGATATCAAGTCAATATAACTTTCATTTACTAACAATTTATTGGATCCAACGTTTCCTAGCATTCCAGTTTCTGCAAAAATGCCAGGCAAATCATAGGATCAGACAAATACACAGAAGCCAAGCGGAGCTTAACATCACTTTTCATACAAATAAAAAAACTGATGACAATAACAAAAAGAAGAAAAAAATTTTGCAACTTGTCTTAATCTGTTGATTTTTAAGGTCGATAGAATTAGAAAAAGCAGAAACTGTACTTGAAACACCGTCACAAGAGAGCATAAAATATCTAAGAGATTTAAACTTGGGAGGCACGTCTTTCAAAATTCGTCCAATTTGGACTGCAAAACGAAAAAAAATATTCAAATATTTTTCCGTCAATGGCACAACTTGTGATTTCTTCGGAATCCAATTCAAGGCCAATGGGGCTTTAGTATGACAACACTTTCATACCAACCTCTGCGGTTTTCTTGACGCGGTCAAAATTGGCTGGAAAAAAAGCACCCTGAGTAAATAGTTTTCCCACTCTTTGCAAGTGGTCAGAACTAACGCAATCAAATTTGATTCTAAACTTAGAGACTGACCTCTTTCTCAGTAAACCTATCTAAAATAATTGGTATAGTTAACCATACTTCTGTCAAAATCAAGGAAATATTTTCGGCATGAACCAAACTAAGCTATTAGAAAACACTGATCAATTCCGATTTGTAATAGTGACAATTGATAAGCCGAACAGAAACAATATTACGGAGGCGACGCGGAGCTTCGCAACACTTGCGATACAAAATAAAAATTGCCCTAAAAGAAATAGAACAGGAAAAGAAGCAAGTAGGCTCAAAAAATTATTTGAAAGTAGAAAAAACTACATCTTCAAAAAATTGATACTTTGTCTCAAATATTCATGAACAGCCTTTCCTTGCATTGAAAAACAATGACCGAGCGGCAACTAAGTCGAAAACAAACCTCTACTAAAAACTTTTCCGTCCATCCCTCCTGAAACACGCAAAGTGATCAAAAGAATTCAACCTTCAAACTACTCAATAAAAATTGACTACGTCGATATACCAAAAGCCTAACCCCTTTAATCAAGAAAAAAATTCAAAATCAGAGTTCAAATATTTACAAACTACAGAACAACTTTCAATTATGAAAACTGTTTTAATCAAAAATTAAATTACCCACGCTTTGGAAAGAAACTGCTTGAAAAACGTACAAAATAAATTGCATTTGAAAAAAAAAATTGGCCCACAGTAATTAGGACGACAAGCACAAATCTTTAAAAAATCCAGTATATAAAATTGTTTAAATTAATTAATACCTGGAAGAATCTAACGGATATATTAATTAAAGTTTTCAAGATACTGAGCATGACAGTCTGCACAGGAAGGTGAAAATAATAACTACACAGAGCGCAATTACTTTGAAAAGCTCAAAGCGGATCTTAAGAATTTGTCAGAAAAGTTGTTTACGGAAGAAAAAGACGAGTTCCCGATTAGAATTCACTTGCTCTAGCAATTGAAATAACAAGTTATAACAGTTGCACTTAATTGATCATTTTCTTCACTAAGTTCCGAATACCGATTCTATTGCAAGATCATTACAAAGCTTAGATTATTAAAATTCAAACCTGATGAAATCTTCGACTAGCAACCAGTAACATTCAATAGCAGCTTAACTTTGACGCTGATATGTCAACAACGTAAAATTTTTACTCAATTGTTTTTTAAAGCTTATCCAGATGTCAAGAACGTCAAGAAAAATAAGTTTTGTTGAAACTACCTAGTTGAGATAGCTCACCAATTGCGCACTAAAAATATTGAGAAAATGGTAGTTATATCACGTTACCAAGGCTATTATATTGCAAACAAAGAGTCCCCAAAGAGTTGGAAAGTAACACAAACGAGAAGCGTAGCATTGCAAGCTAGCAACAGAAAATGAGACAGAAAATCTCGGAAAAATTGAATTTCGCAATACGCAATGCAATACGCTAAAAACTCGATTTCAGAAAAACACTCAAGAAATACAACTATCAGCATTAAAAAAACTTTTAGTATTTACCGAGAGCAATTAAGCAATAAATTAAGCCAACAAAACAAGAAACCCATTGAGCCGAACACAAAAACAACCATATAGTGTCTTGAAAAAATTTTCAGCAATTCAGTTTGAATTTTTGAACTTGTACACCACAACCGACCGAATTAATTTTTAAAACATACCAACATACTGTTGAAAAAGAGATGGCATTAGAGCTCTTTGATTTGTAAAACAATTTGTAACATAGACACTTTTTTGGCAACATTAACCTAATTCGAGATAACTGGATCAATAGAAAAAATTTATATTTTGCTGGGAAATCTGATAATTAGTTTTCGTTTTCGAAATTAGAATTCGATCACGTTTTTTGTGACCTTTACGTTTTGCTGTTCGATAAAGGAGTTTGCCTTCCTTTTAACAAAAGAAATGAAGAAACCAAACCCCAAAAAAAAATCAAAAATTGAGCGTGAACAAATGTTAGGACTTTTCCAAAAAAAAGAAAGAAAAAAACACCAAGACTCATAAAAGAGTACTCACTGGATTCATAGTCTTAATTATCACTCTTGCCCACCCACCCCAAACAACACAATAAAGGATGACTAAGTCGATTAAACATAAGCCGAAACCATGTCGACCGAATGAAACTGGGCTAGCCAATTTTCAAATTAGAGATGTAGTTGCAAGTATTGCTGATTATCTCTTGTAACACTGGCAACTTATAAGGAAATCCTTACAGTACAGGAAAAACCCGTGATGTGGAAACTAAGCTGACAGATCATGAGCAAGAAACAATAGGGCGACAATGCAATTTTCACTGAACAATTCAATTTCATACATACTGAAAAAAAAAGCTCCAGCCGGGACTCGCATACCAGACGATAAATTGCAAAGGCAACTGGGTTATCTCTAAGAAAAGAGGGGAGGAGGTAGGACGTTGTTAAGTTTCAAAAACAAGGCAAGCTCAATTTTTCTATTAGTAAGAAATTGTTTACGGGAAAACGTATAGCTCCCGATTAGAAGACACTTGCTCTCGCAAGTGCTATGATTGACTCGAACAAAAAGAAAATATCCCTAGCATATTTGATTGCTTTCAAAATTCGAGATTCTGAAAGCTACACTACCTTTGAATTTGTTTATACACTAACTTTTTTGTTGAAATTAATTCAGCTCAAAATCTGGATCAAAATTTATTCATTCCTAGGGGAATTCTTTAAAAATTGGAATCACAATTTCACAATTTTTGCATTTCTGATATCGGAGAGCGCAATTTACCTGCCATTTAGCAACTGAAAGAATGAAAGTTAAAAAATTAAAAGCCGGTAAGAATACCAAAATTGTGGATGACTACTTGATTTTACTCGAGAGCTGCCGAAATAATCCTGCTGTTTGTTTTTGTCATACATTTTTTCATTATCTTCCACCTAAAACTTACCTGTGTTGACTTCTCGTATAGTAAAACTACAATTTTAAAACTATTAATTACACGAGACACTTCATCTCGCAAATGTAATCACGAAAACCAATTAATAATTTGAAGCTTCGTACATTAACACCCAAAAATGTTGTGGTTACAAACCCAACACACTTTAAAAACAGCGCAAATCACACAAAAACAAAGCAATCACTGTTGTATAACAGAGCACACAAGATACAACTGTGTTCAAATCATTTCAAATATTAAAACTCCTCTTCGGTGCTGAAGACGAATTGCTTTTTAGCCGAAGAGCCAACCGAATTCATTACTCCTGCTTTCTGATATTCGCCCACTCGCTTTTCAAAAAAGTTCGTCTTGCCCTCCATGTTGATCATGTCCATGAAAGGAAACGGGTTCTCGCTGTTCCAGATCTTCTCGCAATTCAACTCGACCAGCAACCTGTCGGCAACGAACTCAATGTATTGACACATGAGCTCACTGTTCATTCCAATGAGCTTAACAGGCAGCGCATCAGTCAGGAATTCCTGCTCAATTTTAACAGCATCAGTAACTATTTCCTTAATCCTCGCCTCGGTCGGTTTGTTGATAAGATGCTTAAACATCAAACAGGCGAAGTCGGTATGCAATCCTTCGTCTCGACTGATCAACTCATTAGAGAACGTCAATCCAGGCATTACACCTCGTTTCTTGAGCCAAAAAATAGCAGCGAATGAACCTGAGAAAAATATTCCTTCGACAGACGCAAACGCAATGATTCGTTCTCCAAAAGTGGCGTTGTCTGCTGCGATCCAATTCAGCGCCCAATCTGCCTTCTTTCGCACAGGAGGCATGTTCTCAATAGCGTTGAACAAATAATCCCGCTCCGTCGGATCTCTAATGTAAGTGTCAATCAGCAACGAGTACATTTCAGAGTGAATGTTTTCAATCGCTACTTGAAAGCCGTAGAAACTTCTGGCCTCTGGAATCTGGACCTCCTGACCGAACCTCTCAACTAGATTCTCGTTAACGATTCCGTCACTAGCTGCGAAAAATGCCAAAACGTGTTTGATGAAGTACTTCTCATCGTCCTTCAGTTTCTCCCAGTCGTCCATGTCTTTGGATAGATCCACTTCCTCGACTGTCCAGAAACTCGCAACTGCCTTCTTGTACATGCTCCAGATGTCGTGGTACTGGATCGGAAACATGACATACTTGGTAGGATTCTCCTTCAGCAATGGCTCCTCATTCACTCGCCTTTTATCCTTTATCTGTCGCGTATGCTCACTTGTCGACTTGACTACAGTAGTCGTGCTGTCACTTGTAATGACAGTGTTGGACAGCTGGCTAGTGATTTCTCCGAGGACCATATTGTGTCTGAAACAGTTGATTAAATTAATACAGGCAAAAAAAGATTACGACTAAGACTTCATGGGTTGATCACAATTCATCTTGATCAAAAATTCGCTCAACTAAATTCGACATAACTACGCCTCGTATAATTGCTCAAACTTCTGAGTTGCAGTGGCTGGTTGGTTGTACAATGCACTATTATATAGCTTTGAACAAATTTAATTTATCGGACGTCTAATATTTCTTAAATAAATCTGACCATGAGATAGTGAAATAAAGATGAAAATACATAAAAGCAAGTCATCGAAACACTTTTCATTCAGCAGCGATCTGACATGCAATTTTTCAATAGAAACGAACACATAAACCACAGACAAAAAAGCAAACGCAAAAATTCAAAGAACTATTTGCAGAGTTGCAAAAAGTTCGGACAGACAGAATTAATTAAAAAGAACAACTGTCTAGACATCAACCGAAATTAAAACTGAAATAAACATAACGTCGAAAGTTCATAAAGCAGTTTTGCTCGAAAATTATAACCACGGCGGGCAATTGCATCCGAAGCGTCGAATAGTAAACATTGAAACATGAAAATTACTGCTCAGGGTGGCTATCGATTTCTGCGATTAGTTTCCAAATTTTAAATGATTTGATCATCTTCACTGCCCTTTGTTTTTTTTTGTGCGGCCTAATCTGTTTTTTTTTCTGTGTTTCGTTTTTTAACTAACTTTGCTAACTGTTCTATAGTAAAATCTGGATGTTCATTGCAGTATTTGAAAATAAGGCTAGCAAAACCTTCAGATATCCGAAGATCTCGCATCTTAAATTTGGCCTGACAAAAATTCAAGGTTGTTCGTCTTCAGATTTTGCATGCAAAAAAAACGTCAAAAAGCAAGGATTGCTCATTTTAATTAATTCTGTCTGTCCGAACTTTTTGCTACTAATTATAATTACATTTCTGAAATAGTTCTGACCTTGAGACAAGGAAATAGAGTTGAATTGACAACCGAATTTTCAAAATTACTTTTGAACTGTCAAAAGAGTAAACCAAAATGATTGCGCTTTTTTAGAGATCAGAGATCAGAGATCAAATCCAAAAGAGTCCTTAACTTCGAAAATTGTTTTAAAGTTAACAAAACTTTAAATGAAATTTAAAAAAAACAACCTCTGATATAGCGCAATCATTTTCGTTTGCTCTTTTGACAGTTAGAAAGCAGTTTTGTGAACTTGGTTGTAACTTCAACTCTACTTCACTGTCTCAAGATCCATTTCAGAAAATTAAGAAGTTGTACGATAAAATTGTTAAAAGCTATATATAGAGAGTTGCAAAAAGTTGGAACAGACAAACAATTCAGAAGGCAATCTGCCAAAGAAGTCAATTTTTCCATGCAAAGTTTGAACAGAAAAATAATTAAGAGCAAGTTGTCAATTTAGAATAAAATTTTCATGCAATCTAGAATCAAGTGACCTTGAAAACTCACTCATGTCTGACAGACTAGCATTTACAAAATCCAAAATAGGTAACTTCCTCTTTTTATTTAATTTTGTCTTTCTATTTAAGGTTGTATTAGTTGGAAAAGAGTTGTATAAGTTGGAAGAGACTAAAAAGAGCAGACAAAACACAAAAGCCTGAGTCGAAAAAAAATTAAACTGATTTCTTTCTTTTGTCCGAAATGCAGTTCAATTTGACTAAAAAATACTGAGAACACATTTACCAGAAATAAACAAGTATAGCTAGTTACTGTGCAAGTAGTACAGAATGTTCAGAATATAATCTTAAAAATACAAAAAAAAAAATTTTTTTTTTCAAAATACAGTTTTTTCTGCGTGATGTGATAAAAGGATCTGAACGAAAAACTAGAACTTGAGCATATTACACAATCAAAGTAAAATAAGCAATTTGGAAAAAAAGTAGGAAAATGACAAGATAAACGAAAAAATTTGCAAGTAGTACAGAATGTTCAGACCATAATCTTAAAATTACAAAGAAAAAAATTTTTTTTTTTTCAAAATACAGTTTTTTCTGCGTGATGTGATAAAAGGATCTGAACGAAAAACTAGAACTTGAGCATATTACACAATCAAAGTAAAATAAGCAATTTGGAAAAAAAAAGTAGGAAAATGACAAGATAAACGAAAAAACACGAAATTAGACAAAAAAATTACAAATGTAACACCGGTTTTTCTCGACACTTTATGTTCCAATCACGACTGAAAGGGCTTTAAAATGATACTAGCGTGTAACGCAAATTCAGCGCTTCGAATTTTAAACAACTCATAAAAAACCGCATTTATTGGAAATAAGATCTGCATTCTTTGAGTGTACTCTGACAGCAACCAAATACACGGTTGATAATTTCAATTATGTAAAGTTTTTTTTTCAAAGTTTTTAATTGAAAATTTGAAAAGCAAAAAGTTTTTTATATCTAAACTCTTTGAACAAATTCAAAATGAATTGAGAAACGTCACATCTCGGAAACTCAAAGTAATTGGGCAGCCGCACTTAGACGCAAGAGTGGCAACTCCTGAGAAAACTCATACAGTACCCAACTACAGTGTTGGGTATTTCAAATTATGAGAAATTTCAAAATTGTGTTTTCTAAGAAATTCTTTTTTTAAAAAAAAAACGGAAAAACCTCATATCTCGAAAACTACCAAGAATTGAGCACTCATATTTGGAGGCAAGATTTGCAACTCCTGAGAGAACTCTGGCAGCCCCCAACAACAGGGTTGGGGATTTCAAATTTTGAAGAAAAAAACTAATTTGGGTTTTCTGAATTTTTTTTTCGGAAAAATCATTTAAAAAAAAACGTCATATATCAAAAACCACGTCAATTTGAGCATTCATGTTTAAAGGCGAATTTCGCAACTCATGGGACGAACTGGGAGAGGCTAGCTACAGAGATGAGACCTTCACATTTTGAATTTTTTATATCGAAGTTCTTCGAACAAGTCAAAAGAAAAAAAAACAAAACAAACGTCACATCTCGGAAACTAAGAGCAATTGAGCAGTTCGGACGCAGGATTTGACCTTTGGAACTTCTGAGAGTACTCTCACAGAACCCAACAATAAGATTGGGAATTTCAAATTTCAATAGAAAAACCAATTTAAGTTTTGTGAAACCTTTTTGAAAAAATCACTAACAACGTCATATCCAGAAAACTACAAAGATTTTAGCAGTTACAATTGGAGGCATGATACAAAATTCCCGAGAGTATTCTGACAGCGCGTAATTACAGGGTTGAGAAATTAAACTTTTATCCGGTTTTAAAATAATTTCTTTGAATTTTTTTTGAAGAATCGGCAACTAAAAGAATTTGAGCAGTTATATTTGGAGGAAACGGAAAGAATTTGAGCAGTCATATTTGAAGGCACATTCGGCAACGGGCTGAAGGTACCCAGACAGCAACTCACTACATATACTTGAAAATTTAAGTATATTAAGTTCTTTGAACATAAGTGAAAAAATTATACAAAACGAAAAAAAACTTTAATTTTTCTGAAAATAATCACGAAAAAATCATCGTATCCCGATAACTACAAAAGTTTGAGCTGTCGTAATTTGAGGCAAGATTCGAAAACCCTGGCAGCACCCTACTACAGGGTTGGAAGTTTTGAATGTTTTTAAATTTAAGTTTTATAAAATTCATTTAAAAAATCACAAAAACGTCTCTCGAAAACTACAAGGATTCGAGAGGTCAATTTTGAGGCAAGATTCGCAGTCCCTGAGAGTACCCTGACAGGACCTAACTACAGGGATGGGAATTTCAAATTTTGAGAATGCTTTTAAACTTACGTTTTCTGAACATTTTTGAAAACCCACAAAAATCGTCGTATCTCGTAAACTAAAAGGATTTGTGTATTCATAATTGGAGGCCAAAAATGCAACCCCTGGGAAAAACCTGATAGCATCTTACGATAGGAATGGTTATTTTAAACTTTGCGAAACAGGTGATGATATCAAACTAAAAAATTGAAACTAATTCTTAACCATTGCATTATACGATATAGCTTAAACGTGAAAAAAATTCTTTCGTTAAACATCAATTTATGATTGATAAATTTTTGATTAAATTAACCCATTTTAAAACTGAATCATTAGGTAAATTTTTTGTTGAACTGGGAAATCTGTAAATTCAATTCCACGTTCGAAACTAGATGTCGATCAAATTTTTGTGACATTTACGCTTTTGCTGTTTGTAAAATAGTGCTTCTAAATGTCACTAACTTTGTGAGCAACCACCATGACCGGTTGCCAGCTTAATATATACTAGCGTGTAGTATAACGCATCTCCGGTACTCCCGATTTTTTAACAACTCATAAAAAACTGCATATATTGGAAATAAGATTTGCATTCTTTGAGTGTACTCTGACAGCACCCAATTACAGGGTTCGTAATTACAAATTTTGCACAGTTTTTTATACAAGTTTTTTACACAAATTTTGAAGAACAACAAAATTTTGTGAAATTTCATGCGAGTTCTTAGAAAAAATTTTAAAATGAAATAAGAAACGTCACATCTGGGAAACTAAAAGTAATTGAGCAGTCGCATTTGGACGCAAGATTTGCAGCTCCTGAGAGTACTCTTACAGTATCCAACTACAACGTTGGGAAATTCAAATTTTGAGAAACTTCAACCTTAAGAGTTCTAAAAACAGGTATTTTTTGAAAACCAGAAAAAATGTCACATCTCGAAAACTATCAAGATTTGAGCAACCTTATTTGAAGGCAATACTCGCAATCTTTGACTACTCTGACAGCACACAACTACAGGGTTGGGAATTCCACTTTTATGAATTATTTTATATTTTAAGTTTCCTAAAAATTTCCGAAAAAATCAAATAAATCGTCGTATCTCATAAAATAAAAAAGTTAGGTGTTTTTAATTGGAGGTCGAATTCTCAAACCCTGAGACTACTCTGACAGCCCCCAACTTAAGGTTAGGAATTTCAAATTTTGAAAAAAAAATTAAAATTAATTTTCAAGAAAGTTTTTTGAAAAAATCCCAGAAAAACAT